GAAAAACTAAAATCACTAGTGGCACCGGCTATAAAAGCACCATATAGAGTAAATTTAACTGTGAAAATACTAGTCGAGTCAATTGTCATTGAGCATTTTTGCCTTGGCTCTGAGGATATCGCGTTCCAAATGCTAATGGCACCATCTTCACTTGATGAAGCTAGCAATCTTTCACCATTTTCATTCACCGTGTTAGAAGGTAATGGTTGCCATACGAGGGAGGTAATTGGTCCAGTGTGCGCATTGAACGTTCGAGAACGACCATGCTCGTCCCATATCTAATGAAATTAGATTAGTAATCGATTAAATCAACAATGAAAATACCTACATCAATCATACCACTTTCACTACCAGTCGCAAGTAATTTTGAAACCCTGTCGAAAGTAGCATGAGACAGTCGATGCTGATCACGATGCTCAAGTTTCATTACATGTTCAACAATTCCATCAGTAATTCGAAATATCTCTAGGAATTCACCCCCGTACACGATGAAATCTTCATCACTCATCCATAAAGCCTCTAATGGGTATTCTAGAAGAGGCACCGACGGTAATGTATATTGTATAGTTCGAAAATCGGTCATTGAAGTGATGATAACGGCTGTTCCAATAGCATTTGGTGTAACTGTAATTGGAGAGATCGACAAAAACAGTGTATTCGAGAAATTCCATCTCACTGAAATGACTGGAGTTTCCATTGGAGCAGATGTATGCAATAGTTGACCCTTGACAGACCAAACAGCAACATTTGCTGTTCCTTCAGACTGCTCACTAGCAACAAGAATATGGTTCCCATCAGATGACCAGGTAAGCTCATTAACAACTGTCGCTCGGGGCGCTAGAGGTTCGAGAAGATGAGTACATGGTGGGAAGCTTCCATTCCCATTCATTTCTGAAGCATTAGGAAGAGGATTACTTCCATTGCTTTGATCAGTAACCGTACGTGAAAGGTCCCACATTCGAGCTAATGAATCAGTACCTCCCACAGCCAAGAAATGTGGTATTTTTGGATTCCATTCGCAACGATATAAAATGGTCGATTTCGATGCATTATCGTCCAATAAATCTAGATATAACGTTTCGGTTTTGAGGTTTGAAACTTTATCATATTGAGTACCTTTTTCTGGTCCACTGGTGGCAGTAATTGGTGATGGTAACTGCTCTGGTGATGGATAAGCATGGCCATCTCCATTTTGATCACCATCAATTTCCATGGGTGTTGAAGCTGATTCATAATAATTCACACTTCCGTTCCCGCTTCCATTTCCATTCGACATTCCATTCGAACTTCCATTTGAAATTCCATTTTCGTAACCGTTGGTTAGTCGAGGTTTCTTTCCCGGTGGACCATTTGAGATTGAATTTGATTCCTCTTCTAACTGATGTTTTCGGGCAATTTCTGGGTCTTCGTTATTGTTGGGGGTTTCTTGAGGCGAAGCAATGATTGGTATGGTTCTGTTTGTTGTTTCTAAGGGACCAAAAACTCCCATCGGTAATTCTGAGACATTTTGAGGTAACCCTTGGTGTTGTCGAAATGCCTAAACGAAGAAGTATGTTAATTAAAAGGTTCTATTGAATTCTCGATTTCAATCGATTGAATGATGTGAAGAGAGTAAGTGAGTAAGTAAATAAATGAGGTGAAGCGAAGTGAAGGAGTGTAGTGAAGGGGTGTAGTGAAATGAAGTGTGAGCTAAATTTAGATAGATGAATGTAACATGTAAGAATAAATAAATATCACAAAACCCTGATGACTTGTGAAATGCATTAAATCCAACAGAAATCATACAGGAGTTGAGAATTTGAAACATAGAATGAGAATAGACACATACCCTTGATGCTTCTCTATTGTATGCATCATAAAGAAGACCTTTGTTTAAAACGGAGACTAGTGCATGCTTTCCGACATGGGGCGCAAATGGTAATAGTTCTGGCTGTTTAACGTCCCACTCTTTTGAAAGGTGACGAGCCGCTCCTTCGTAACCTGAATAGAAAGGAAAGAAAGAATTTGATCAGTCCAATGATTCTCCATACAATGAAAATACGAGTACCATTTTTGTTACCTCAGGCTCAATACCCGAGGTAAAAAGAAAGAAGAGGGAGAGGAAGAGGAAGAAGGAGAAGAAGAAGAAGAAAGAATGAGATTGAGTATATCCTCATCTTTTTTCTCTCCCATCATCTTCTTTTTCCCTTTGAGTAACTGCACTGATACATACCTGATTCTAAAAAATATCTGTAATGCAATACAAATAATTGCCGTTAGCGAAATGTAATCTCAAATATCATTCCGTACCTATAAGAAAAAAACCGAATGAACGGATCACGAGGAAACACGTACTTCCAAATCAGATAATTCACCTTGTCCGAGGTTAAAGTTTCCTTCGTCATTGCTAATTTGGTATTCGAGGATGGCCAGATGTTGTAGGTGATGGTTCAATCCGATACTTGGATGATTGGAGAATCTCTGATTCGTGATTGTGTAGCGTCAAGGTTGATTGATTGATGTATATTGAAGGTAGATGTAGACGTAGATGTAGTGCAGGAAAAGCGATTTGCGTATGGGGTATCTCTCGTACTGGGTATTGAATCGAATCAAATGGTATTGTGTGGTTGAGTGGGGGTTATATTATGATTGCGCGCTCGATGCTATGTTGTAAGGACGGTGAGGTGTGATTGTTAAGGAGGTGATGGTGATGGTGATGATGATGGTGGTGGTAGTCGAAATGGCGGCGGCAGTGATGGTAATGAGGGATGGCGATGTTGTTGATGTAGATGGGTTGTAGGTAGGTTATTGTTGTTGTAGTTATGTTTTTTTGCGGGCTGTGTTGAATTCGAGATTGAGGAATGGGTAGAAAAGAGACTTGTTCGTTGCAGCTAGAAGCTAAGGACGATATTAAAACCAGAGTCGGAAGTTGATTGGTTAGAAAGTGGAGAGAGATCCAAAAGAATTAAAGCAGGGGAGGCAGAATCATTGGATAAAGTAAAGTGAGAGCGTAACAGGGACGATCTTATTAAAGAAGACTAATACCAAATTAGTACTAACGGGTATTTCGCCCATTTGATCTATTTCATCCATTTTATCTACAAAAACTCAAAAATGCTAAACTGTGTGAAACCCAATGCCCGTACTTGACTTGTATCTCGACTCTGTTCTTTTTGATGATGAATAAGTAGCGGGTGGTACTTGGTACTCGGTACGCGCTAGGTATGTGAAAGGTAGTTTTAATCAATGCAAGATTCGAATTCGGTGTTTGTACTTGGAGCGAATGTGTTATCAACAGAAGACGGAATTTCACCTGCCGCAGCACCGCGGCTGCTTTTATCACAATTCACAATAACAAAGGGCACGAATGTTTGAGATGGAAGAAAAAGGTTAAAGGTGGTAACAAGAAGCGGTGGCATGGATAAGTTAGAAATACCTACGGAGTAATACCCAGTCCTAGTAGTAATTGATTTTAGTGCATGACAAGCAGGAAATCAGAAATCAGAAATCAGAAATCAGAAAACGAAGCCATGGTCCATGGCATGGGAAAGTCAAGAGAATGAGAAGGGAACATTTTCTATCCATCCACATGAACATCCACATCTACGGAGTACTGTTGTACTCGGCACATATTACTCGTTCCAAGACTTTTTTTTAAGAAAAAACCCCTCCCATGTCAATTTTTCGATCAAGCATTAGTACCACCCACCCGTTACCACTCCGTACAATAAATTAACAGGGGGGTCATACACGGGGATTCAAGGGGACGAGGGAAGTGGCAGGACAGAGAAGAATAAGCCAAGCCGAAACAAATGACAAGGTATAATTACAGTTGGACAAGAGTCAAGTGTGATCGTCCTGCCCTATCGAGAATCGAGATGCGTGTGATGGGCTTGAACCCGGGTTAAAGAATGGAAGGATGGTCAAATAAATGGAGAGACGGAGAGGCAGCGAGTGGAAACTTGAAAGAGAGAGAGAACCCTTCATTTGATGTTCATGGATGAAACTGGAGATTCCCATTCCCTTGACAGGTCTTACCTTCTTTGTTAATATCTCCGACGCTTTGTTGATTGTGTGAAGAAGATGGATAAGTGACAAAGCAAACCAAGAGATTGATTGTCATGGGAGTTGATTGGCCGGTACTTTATAGCCATCCATAGATTATTCGAACTTGATGATGGAAAATTCTGAATGTTTGAATGACGGATTCGGTATGTACCAGATTTTGGATACTTGGCTTCCACTAAATCCAACTCTTTGACCCTCACGGTAGTAACGGGAATTTCCTGAAGTCAGTCGAATTGTTACTGAAAGAGGTTGGAGATCTGGCTAAAGTTGGTGTTTCTTCTAGACCATTACCGTATTCATAGCTTAAATATTGGCTGAACATATCCCCCCGTGCATCCCAACTTTTCAAGATGCATGAATTGATAGGCGGGCTGGAATAATGTGCCTAAGTGTACAACGGCGTACGGTGCGTGATGGTAAATGCTTGCTTGTCTCGATAAAGCTGTGGATGACGGCGATGGTGCTGACCTGTTAAGGCAAGTAGGTAGTAGATAGTAGATGGTAAAAGAATGATGTGCGAGCAAGATGCGTGTAATAAGAGAAATGAATGCCTGTCAATATTTAATTTTACATAAATATTTGTCCACTACCAAAGATATTATTTTTAGTTTTGGAAAGAAATACTACCATGTAAGGTAAGGTAACGTAAGGTACCTGAGAAAGGTACAGGATGAATATTTGAATATTCTAACAATGAGAGAGAGCTCGGATGAAAGATGCACGGGATACAAGAACCAGTTTGTTCCTGTTCCCGTTGTTGATCAACGTCTCATCCCCGAGTAAGATTCATTTCTATCTATCTATTTAACCTCTCCAGGGCGCATTTCAATGATTAGATTTCCTAGTGATGAAGCTTGTAACAAGAGAGTTTCTATGGTCTTACCACTATACAGTAGTACAACCTTAACACTGGCATCGGGTATCACTATCTCCAGGGCTTTTCTCCACCACCTTTGACTAACAATCTAGGGACGGAAGTACGAAACGAACTAAATATACTAGGTAGGTATGTGGTACTAGATGACAGATGATGAACGACTCAGTGGAATGAATACCTCCCTACTACCTAGGTACTTACTATCTAGGCACTTGTCCAAATGCTGATGCCTAGGTATGATGATGATGCACAGCAGTAGTTCACTTCATGCCGGGGGTTCAAATATTACAATGGATGAGAAGAGAACTTTATTTACTATATCCTTGAACCCACTCATACGGAGTACTCATACACATCAATTATCATCAAATCATCAAATCATCAAATCACCAAATCACCATCACCATCACCATATCACAAATACCACACCGCGTATCTATTCAGAGGTTGGCATATGTTGGTTAATTCAGGTACGTGGAACTTCCTGCTATATTACTTGCGCATATACGATTAACGAATTTTTCCTTTTTAATTGCATTTTCCGGTACCGCCTCCTCTCATCGAATGTTTATTAGTTGCTAAGACCTCTACCTACCCCTAGTATGTATCACACGCATAAATAATTTAAAAATCGAAAAATCTAAATCTTGATGAACTGTCCTGCCAATCGTGCGTAGCCGATTTTTGCTGGCGCGCAAAAAGTATTCTCTCCCACATTTTCGGAATTTCTACCCGGCATGTTTCTGGCCAGCTAACTTTTGGTGACTATATCCAAATTAAGCTTAGTCAATCTCCACAGCCTCACACCTCACGTGGCTTACAATTTTTCACGCTTAAGCCTTATATATGAGGCTAAACAATCATTGCTCACAAGGCCGAAACAATTTCAGTGGGTCTGTGTCTCGAACACTTACTAACTTTGATGACAGCTTTAATTTTTATTTAGGGAAAGCTTGATGAAAATCCCCAAAGCTTCATTATTGAAGATATACTTATTACTTACACTGCTACCAAATTTCTTTACCAAGGAGGACGGATTTACCACTCCTTCCAAGGTACTTCTACATATTCATAACCATGCCACCAAGATTAAATATTCCTCCAGTGACGAGGATACTACTTATCGCATTAGTATCTGAATCCATTTTGAGTGCGGCAATTCGATATAAACAATGGGACAAGGAAACCGCAGCAGATCTTCATATAGTAGTTCCATACCTGTCGCTCGTACCTCAATTATCCTTCATATACCCTTGGACCTTCCTGACAACTACATTGGTGGAGAATAATGTGTTTACCTTGAGTATAGCTGGATTGACTTTATTCTATGGAGGAAGATATTTGGAACGAGCATGGACATCCAAGGAATTCGCAAAGTTTATTATAATCGCATCTCTTCTTCCTAACCTTTTTACATTCGGGACTTTGGTTCTTTTCTTTGCTGTCACTGGTGATATGAGCTGGACGTGAGTTATTCAAATTTTGCCTTTCTTTTCTGAAGCTTGTCTATTCTACAAATTACTAACATCTACCCAAAGTCTTAGCTCAATTAATGGAACCATTCCTCTTCAAATCTCCTTCCTAATCGCCTTCTCTCAACTCATACCTACACATACCGTCACCTTATTTAAAGGAATTCTCTCCCTTCGCGTTCCTCGATTCCCTCTCCTCCACTTCTCTACTATCCTTACCCTCTCCCTCCTCCAACTTCTAAGCATCTCTTCCGTCTTCCTCGTCTCATGGGCCTTTCTCATCTCATGGACCTACCTCCGCTTCTATAAATCCGCCTTCCCAGATCTCGATTCCCATCAAACGCCTACCCTTCGCGGCGATGCAAGTGAGACATTCGCATTCGCAGAATTTTTCCCTGGCCCTCTCAAACCTCTCCTCGCTTCCTTCTCAGACGCAGTCTTCAATACATTAGTAGCAATTAAAATATGCACACCATTTTCCGCAGCAGATGTTTCAGCTAGTAGAGGAGAATCTTCCTTCATACAACAAAGAGGTACACCAGGAGGAGCGAGAGCAGAGGCAGAAAGAAGGAGAGCTTTGGCGCTTAAAGCGCTAGATCAGAGATTACATGCTGCGACAGCTAAGAATGTTTCACCGCCTGCGCCTACAGGTCCATCGGTAGCGACACAACCGCAACCGGGAACTCAAACAGCAATGACAAGTCAACCGAGTGGGATGTTAGGAGAGACGAATTATGTGCCAGAAGGACATGAGGGAGATAAGGCAGGTTCGTGATGATATCCAGAAGGGTGGGCATGGAATGAGGTTATGGGTGATAATGATGAAACTTTTCAATACCTTTAATTCACCGAATGGGAATTGAATGGTCGATCAAGGATACTTGGACTCATCGGATTGGCGTTCGTGAGATGATTCAATGGTCTAGATAGATACTTCTTCGTTTCCTCGTGCCACTCACTGCATTATAATGCATTGGACTTGATTGTATTGTATCGTACGTCTTTTTTGTTCTTGAACTAACGAGCATTCTAAATATATTTATGATACCCCTTATATTATATCTTTTCTGTATGTGTGTGAAATAGCTTGAGTGGAGAGTGGGTTTGTAAGAACTTGTATGGGAATATGAATGGGAAATATGGAAAGTAAGGAAGTAGTGGTATAGTTTTTATTCTACTTCTTGATTTCTAGTTCTTATTTTGA